CACCTCCCAACCCACGACTCCTCCCAACGACTCCTCCCAACCTCCACCATCGTATCCGTCGTATCCGTCGTCCCACCCAAAAGCCATGGAACCGGATGGAACCGGGTTTGGTCTTGAAAGAACGGGTTTCATGGAGCCTACGGTTCTCTGTGCATCATCTTTCACATGAAAAATGTGTGGTTTTCAGGATGTAGACATGGTCCATGTTGTCTCTGTGAAGTCTAATCTAATCGTCTGACTTTGTGCTCTCAAATCATTGAAACGGTTCGAGTGTTTGGAATCTAAAGGGTGGACTTGCACGTTCCGTCCACAATCCCCAAACAACTGTGGACATCTGTTTGCAAAGACTTGTTCTGCCTTCAGGCATTCTCTGATCTTTATAATGATGGGCACATTGATGGGCGCAGAACCAAATGGCGCAACGAAAAAGGCGGTGTGCCCCTTCGGGGCACCCGCTAGGGAAAGGCGCAGTATGCGCTACTGGAGGAGCCATCTTCCAACGGAAGGAAGTTCAGGAGTTCTTGGTGAGATGTCTCGGCAAAGTTTCTGTTCCAAACCTTGTCTGACATGTTCTTCCCTCTCTGTCTGTCTCTCTCTGTCTGTCTCTCTCTCTCTCTCTCTCTCGCTCGCTGTGAAACCATAATCTACTATTACATATGCCCGCGTTCCTTTAGACTTTAAGCCATGACTCATCCCGTATCTGCCAGGGCTGAAAAACGGTGGGTATGTAAGAAAGCCCATCTGTAAAACACACATAGAAACAACATACAGGAAAAAAAAAAAACATGTGCTTTTGAGAGAGTTCCGTTTGGGCCTTGGGTGAATTCTCTATATTGCCAAGGGGTCACTGGGCGCATGTCCCACCCAGTCGCCCAGTGCGTCAAAGGCTGAAGAAGATCCAAACAGCAGTCTTCACAGTTGATAGTAGAGGTGAAGAAAGAGGGGTCTCTACCTAAACTAGCAATGATTCTGAAATCGGAACCGGAATCTGGGTATTCCGGAATAGACTATCCTCAACTATGTTCATCTCAATCTTGCAGGGTCATAGGGCGATCGATTGATCTCTCGCCACGGATTCTTCGTCTCAGGATGGCTCTTCCTCTGCCAGGCAGCCATCAATGAAGTCCTTGCAAGCGACGCAAAGATCCAAAAAAAGAGGTCCAAACAGAACACAGGCACCCAATCATTGAGAAGTAAGAACCCCTATGGCTATCGCTGTCTGGGCGGTTGATGTAGATGTCTACTGTGCTTCGATCACCAATGGATGACCCTCTCTTGAGCATGGCATATGTCCCTGGCCTTCAAAGACCATGTAAATGGGTTGACCCGGCTTTGCAGTGTCAAATCCTTCGCAAAACCATGGTTCTTCGGGCGCTGAAAAGCGCCCACATTCATAGTGGGCCAGGAATGCATCTAAAAAATCGCCATCCATGGATTCTCTCCCTAGAAATGCCCCCAAGAAGCCGGCTTCGGGCCCTGGGCCCGAACCACGACCAAGTCGGTTCCCTCGGACCGAGTCGGTTCCCTCGGACCGAAGGGTGTCCGGTGTCCCGCTTGGTTTTGGGAGCGATGCGGTGGGTTGATCAGTTCAGAGATGAACAGTGAAACGAAGGCTTTGATCATCAGGTTTTGAGAAAATAGGCTTCATCATATGGGATCAGTTCAGATGGCATGGCTCAAGTCCTACAGTTCAAAAAAAATAAATAAGAATAAACAATAAAACTTCTGGCTCAAGTCCTGATGTAAACCACAACTTGGGATTTGAGCCAAGAGTCAAAATAGAGAACATCACTGCCTCCCCGAGCCCCGCGGAACAAACCGGGAAACCAAGAGCAACACAACACCCTCTCATTCAACACGGAAAGGAGCCGCCGACGGTCACCTGCGGTTCTTTCACTCCTGAAAGCTCCTTTGGAACTGCTGGCAAGCCGGAAAGGCTACCTGCAAAGACCAATGTCTCAATAGCGCTCATGTCAACCCTGTGTTGACTTGGATACCATGAATTGGTGACTGTGTGCGGGATGAGCTGTGAAGTTTTGAGTCTTTCCAAATCAAAAACGTAAAGCAATGATGCTTTACTGCTTTAAACTTTATGGCCCTTAGGGGGAGAAGTATCAACCACCACCCATGGTGATCATCTGTGGTCGCCCCATGTTTTCGCTCCAAGTGTGGCTGTGATTCGGAGGCTTCGATCGTATCTCGTCACGGTTGCAGGGCCATGTCCAAGAGTTCTTTCTGTAAGTCGATTTCATGACATTCAGGAGTCATAACATTACATTCAGGTCTTATATGGTCTTATAGAGTCGCGCGCCCCACTTTTTGATCAAACAATTGCAGCTACAAAGCACCCAACTTGGAGGCGGGGCCTGCTCTTTTTTGCAGTGAGTGATTGAAGATTTGGATGATTTGGGTGTTTTCCATTCATGTCATTCACCATCATTCACCAGCACCTTGCATGGATCTCGTCACTGCGTCTTCTTTCGATAATTGGACACAGAGTTCATTCACAGTTGATTCCACAATCACTTAGAACTCACTCACAAGGCCTTGCTGTGCCATCATGGACGAGTTCATTTGCCTTGTCAGGAAGGACGAGTGCTGAGTGAGTCCGTGTATGCCTTTTAATCTGTGTTTGTTGAGTCTCAGTTTGTTTGAAAGGTTATTGGCTCATAGCCGGCGCCAACCAATTAATGTTTGTGCTCTGGCCTGCTTGCCGGCGCCAACCACCACTGCTTGTGCTCCTGCACCTTTGCTGGCGCGGACCACCACCACTGTTCTGGGGCCCACCATCACGGCTCATAGCCTGCCTGCAGCTGATGCTGCTGCTGCTGCTGGCTCTTTTTGATCGAACGGCCGAAGGGCTTCAACATTACATGGAGGTGGCATCACCGGAGTCACCGTTGATCACTGCGACCAAACATACCAAACCTTTCCAAAAAATGGGTCCATTTCAAAAAGGCTTACACAGACTAAAAGGCTAACTTATCAAAGCGCGCAGACTGCAACGCAGGAGAAGATGAGTGAGCAGTCAGTTTGACAGACGGGATACAAGGTGCAACCTGGTGGACCGAAGTCGATCGATAAAGCCAGGAATATTGGATGTTGGGGGAATTGGGAAATAGATGTTCTGCAACAACCAGGCTCATCAGTCACCACTCATCACTGATCACCCTTTGGGCGACATGTCATCATTCATTCGTCATTTATTTTTAGTTTCTCGTGAATCTCATTCGAATGAATGTCACTGCCACGTTGCCACGTTGCTTCGGATTCGGTTTTTCCTTTCTTGCGCGCCCCTATTGGCCTAGTAGTCCTCCAAGGAAACAAAGAGAGTTGAACCCCAACTTAATCCAAGCTCGACCGCCAGGTGCTGAGTTGTTTTCCGCCGGGGCCCGAATCTGGAACCATGAGACGAGGATCGGAGTGCCGCTGTCTTTGGGCACCTGCTGCATTTTCAGCCACGTTTTGGATCGAAGCATAGAAAGCTACTAAAGGGCTTGGAATATAGTGGATTGAGCAAATGGATAATCTGACAGAGATCATACCCGGCTTGTAACTCCTATAGGGTGCAATTCATTCATCATTAAACTTTAATGTAGTATTTTGACATATTTTGACATTTGTCCAAATGAGATCATGGTAGAAACTCTAACTTTGTGCATATTGTCATATTGCATCCGGCCGGCTTCTTTGCACATGCTGATTCGCTCAGCCTCGCCCCAAGAGAATTGGCCGATGATCGTTTGCTGAACTTATTTTCAGTCGTGCAAACAGCATGTCGATTTAGTACTGATTTAGTAATAGGCTAAATTGAAAATCCACCTCACAGGAAATCAGTCATGTGTGGTAGGGCTGGCATGGGCTGGCTGTCCACTCAGAAACTCTCAGGTTGCCGCCCTTCGCCTGCGTCGGTGATGAGTACAGGACGGTTGGTTGAGCGCCAAAAAGTACAAAGAAACACTGTTTTTTGAAGACGTTTGGTTTCTGTCCCTGGTTTCTGGCTCAGTGGGGCCAGTTACCGGTAAGGCGTCAGCTTGTCATCGTAGCTGGGGCTGGTTCGAATCAAGCTCCAGCTACAATGACAAGCTGAAGGTTGGAGGTTCAAGTGGTTCATTTTGGCGGTTGCCTCCCAGAGAAAATTTCAAGTAAACCCCACTGACACCCTCCTCTCCCTACTTGGTCAAAAACTTGGACTAAAATGGGCTTCTTGAACTTCTTGCTACCTGGACGTGTACTCAAACCACCACCGCTTTTTATTCTGCAGTATCCTGCAATGATCTGGGCTGGTGTTGGTCGTATAATCAGTATCATCTTCATCTTCACCCACCCCTCCACGGAAAGAACAACAATTACGAAGCCTTGCTGCAGGAGTGAGGCCCAAGTGAAGGTTGTGGCGGCCTGAGCAGGTTCAGTGTATTCCAATGGGCGGATCTGACCTTCATCCATGTTCTCCGATACAAAGTTTGGTCACTGGATTCCAAGGATTTATGAAATATTTGACAAATCATTGTGTTGAACCACTCTGTCTTACTAGGCTATGACACGTGTCACTAGATTCAGCAGCGCAGTTCTGAATCTTCCATGTTCACATGTTCGAGAACGAGCTGAAAATGGAAGTAGCTCAACACCTGCCTCAATGAAAAATGACAAACGTCTTCAGTACACAACATGACATTTGGATTAATCCCAGGTTTGCGAGGTGTCTTATTCAACAAAAACTACGCACGCCAAGAAAAGGCGTCTGAGTCTGTTTGTAATGCAAACGCATGCAAACGCATTTGTTCCATGGTGGGCCCCTGCAACTTTTCAACTCTCCGTCGTTTTAAGCTGCTGTTTGGCATGCCATATTTTTTGCCCGAACAGAGCTGCTTAAACATATTCCCGTTGTTGATGAACAGTGGCCCATTTCAGTATCATGCTGCTCTACACTGATTTGCGACCTTAGCATGTTGCTGGGCAATTCTACCTCGCACGCTATCGTGCGCTCAGGGCTTCAAAAGATGTCATCGGCTCAGAGAAAGAGGCCTGGCAAACTGATGCGCGCTTGCCACTCCTGACTTGCGCAGTTTTGAGTAGGTATTAGGTCTTAGTTTTGCAGTTGTTCTTGATCAATTGCAAGGTTTCGACCACTCTTCAAACTGCAACCCAGCCTGCAGACTCTTTGTCAGATGCGCCAGGTTCCTTCGTGCTTTGGCTCGGAACCCAGAGGATTCCATTGATGCCAAGCCCTCACGTGAAGAGCCAAGCGCACCCAGTGAACCTGCGAAGCCAGTGGTTGAGCCTGTCAAAGGTGTCAGATTTGATTTTGATACCTTGAGTCGATTTCAGGGCATCCATGGTATGGGATTGAGCCCTGTTAGCGAAGAGGTGAATTTCCGGAAGCGTCCAAACTATGATGGTTCCCGAAGAAGACACATGAGACTTCAGCGTGCAAGAACTTCGTAACTTGATTCCCAAGTTTCTGGACTTGTTTTCGACTTGTAGCATTGTAGCAGGTTTAATTTGTGTCGCCAATCGCCAAGCAGATTTATCCAAGGCATACTGAGAATGGTCTCAGCCGAGCACGCGTGGAGGGCCTGATCCGACGTGACTGCTGTCGGTGTCAGAGGAAGATTTGTTTTGCCAAGTACCGGCAAAATATGGTAGACCAACTGCTGAAATTCCTGAAGATCTTTTGGTCTCTAGCAAGAGCTGCTCAGGATTCTTTCGTGCCTTGCTTGAGTATAATTTAGCTCTAAGTCTAACAGCAGGGCTCTGTCATAGGTTGCGAGTTTGTTTTGATGGTCAGAGTCGAGTTCTGCATTGAGGTTGTCATGTAAATTGGTTTTGCCAAACCATGTCATTAGTAGGCTATAGAAGCTTTGCGAACACAGTGGCCACTTCATTGCACACAAAGTTTACAGCTTATTGTCGTTTTCGAAGACGTGTGCAATGATGCCATTTGAGGTGCTTTTCGTTGCTGGCGATAAAGCCAACTGCCGGAGGTCCTGGTACGTCTTGGGCAAGCAGGTGTCGCCAGCGTGTGCGATGGCTTTGCTGGGTATGGGCAATGATCGGTTAAGCCGGATATTGCAATTTAGACGGGATATGCGGAAGTCTGACGGAAACGTGCTTTGGTTAAGTTGAACATTGAACTGTTTTGTTACTGTGCAGTTTTTTTAAAATAGGGTGTACCATTGAACCATTGAAACACCTTGGAGCATGCCATCAACTCACTACTGTACTGTGAATGATGACAAGTGGTGGGTTTTGGGTCACTAGACTTAAAATTAGGGCGCCTTGGACACGCTTTGCCAAGAGCCTAGAATTGAGGTAATCAAGCGAACAGCTCGAAAGAGAAGAGCTATAAACATGTTCTTGCTTGGTGTGTACATGAAGTCAGCTGGCATGCTGCCGAACAAGCTTTTTGCTTGCAATTACAACCGTTTTTTGTTGGGGGGGTGAGTACAAATTATGTTTAATAAGTTTAATTAAGTTTAATAGGTGACCGTTCCAAACCCAATGCATAATTAAGAGCTCACGACGACTTGTAATCATCAGGTTTCAGCGAGCAAGTCGCAGCAAGAAGTCTCATGAGAAGATCACAGTGGTATTTGAGTCGGTGGATGACCACGAGTCAGAGGCCGAGAGCACATCAGATGAAGGAGATCACGACGAGGTTATCCCAGAAGAGCCCATCGAAAAGGACCAGGAACTGCGACTTCACGTGCTCGGCATGAACTCCTTTTTCACATCATGCGTGGAAACAAACTTCGCCAGCAACATCAAGAATCTACCTGTCCGGTATTTGCCGCCAGGAACCATTCATATGTTGTGGATGAACATGCAAACAGAGAGGAAAGGCGACGGCATATCGTACAACCATTTTTGGCGTACCTTTCGCCAGGGCTGGAGCAATCTGCTCCGTTTTGTGGCTCCATCCACACACGGGGCCTGTGATGTTTGTTGCGGATTCAAATCCGACTTCAAACGGCAGCTTGACCCTCAAACCAAGTTTGAGACAGCTCGCTGTTACCGACATCATTTGGAAGAGGTCGGTCGGGACCGTGACCTGGAGCAGTTTCTCCAAGCTAGCAACCCTTTGGAGAGAAGTGGACATCCATTGGCAATGCATTGGGCCCCTTGTCAATTGAATCTGTTCACCGCAGTGTGCAGCTACCATTAAGCGTCCTAATGGTTTTAATCCCTTTCTTCTAGGGTGCACTGGGTATATGTTCCGACTTGTGTTCAGTCCATGTAAGGACGGAATGGACCAGAGCAAATGGAGAATCCCACGGTATCATGGCCCCAATGGACAGCGCCCTTTGAAGTCAACGATGAACCTGCAACGACCACAGCTCAAAGTGCAGGGCATATGGATCTTTAACGTTTTGCTGGACCTTTACGCGTCCAAGCTGCAAAGTAGTAATCCTTTGGCAATTGCTGGGGTTGATCGTGCTCAGATGTACAATGTTGTATCATTAACTTACTGTCTGACTCAAGTCTTGAGCTTTCAGGGGCATGTTGCCTAATACACTGACATGGGTATGCCATGTCGAACCGTGCTACTATCAGTTTAATGGTTTCTCTTCATGTCAATACCGGGGGGGAGATGCAAGGCATCGTTGAGACAGTGTGACATTGAATTGAAGCACGCCAACAAGCAACACATTCCGCCAGGTTCAATTAATTGCTTTGATAATAATTAAAGAGCGCGCCATTTCCACGGAATAGACAGGTCTAAACAACTTCTTGTTTGTTGAAGCTGAGGGGCTGCAAATGTGGGGATTGTACTTTGTAGTTTGCTGGCCTGAGCCTGAATTCCAACAATTTGCCTCTCTGCCAGGTCCTAGATCCTCGAGTGGCAGCTGACTCAACCACGGTTCTGGAGACCGCAAGTCGCTCAATAGACTTTGCTTTGCAGCTGTGCGATGAGCTGAGAGTTCCCCGCCCCAACCAGCTTTTGGTTTGGGAGCCTTTGATTGAATTGCAACATTTCTTTCTTTATAATTTAGTCAGTCAGTAGGACTGAAAACCGTCGGAAACAAGAGTTCAGTTTCACTGGGAAGCACTTGAAGAACACCCTACTTTGTATCAAACTTTTGCCCCCTAAATTTTAATTCAATGTCTTATAATGTTTTGACCAAGAATAGTTAGTGCTGTAACTTAGGCTGACAATTGCGTGAGGGAGAACAAGAACGGGCAACTTCTGCGGTTCTTGAGCTGGTTATGTGCGACTCACAGGATGAGGATGTGTGGGTACTTCTTTTCAAGAGTGGGCCACACGCATTCAGCGTGTGGTTCCTTGCACGCATTTTGCAGCTCTTGTCTGTGTTGCAGCAACTCCTGAAATCAGTCTGAAGGGGTTGTCTAGGCTCTTGTGAGTTGGACCCACGTTGCTCAAGCCCACAGCCGCCTCCCACTAAGACCAAATCTACGGATTGATCGCGACGGCCATGAAGTACATTGACATTTTGTCAGATGGTCTTGACGTCGCAGCGTCCGAAGCTTAGGGAACGTGATCCAATTGAACATACAGTAAAATAGGTAATTACACTCAGGACTTTTAATGGTTTCATTGTCACCTCAGCCATGTCTCAAGGAAGATCGAGAACGTCTTGAACCGCATCGGGGTCAGGCATTGGATAGGACAAAAGGCACGAATCCGTGTGCAGTACATATCCGGTGTTCGGGAGTTCAAGAACTGGTGCTTTGGTTCAAATGTTTCAAGAATTTTATGATGTTCGTTTTGTGACTTTGTTCAACACATGTTGCACAGTTTTGAAGCTTGTGAGTATGAGATGCAATGTGATTGCCCTTTGAAACAGTGTAAGGCTATCGGCTGCACCGGTGACATTTGCCGGGGGTCTCAAAACGGACGAGACGGGCCTGCACGCGTTCATCTTTATGCGCCGCTCAGGTGAGCAACTGTGGTTCCAAGCGCAATCCAATGACCAGTCTCTTTCTGGTCAACTGTGATTCAAAGCACAATCCATTAACCTCTTTCTGGTCACCACCCTGTAGATTTATGTAATATCTTACCAATAGCTCTAAATAGTGTTTGTGGGCTAGTGCTTGCCTTGAGAAAGTGTCAGAGAAGCTTTGAAGCGTCCGTCAGACCTCCCTGCCAACATCAACATCGTCGCCCACGGTCGGGGTGCGGCCTATGAGACTCACGAATCTGACGTGATCCTGATGGTCAAACGCAACGCTTCGGACGATGGATTGTGTCAGGAGTTGTTCAACGTGAGTTTTTCTTGAATGGGAATACGGATGATATCGTTGTTTGGTAAATATTGGAAAGCTCAATTTTGAAAGTCTTCTTACAGGAGCCAATGTTGGCGTTTCCATACCGGTACGTTGCCCGATTTGGCCCTTTGCCCGCTGAGCCACGAAGCCTAAAGCTGATCAAACCCGCCAAAAAGAAAGACTACTTGGCTTTGGCCCAAATTTTGCTTCGGACAAACCCGTCGGAAGCAACTCGGAGGGCAGTAGAGTTTTTAGTTGGGATTTGCACTGGCTTAGACCCAGAGGCTGTTCCGACCATTAAATGGTTGGAGGAAGAGCCTCGAGCACCCGCTATAGATTTGGGGGGGCTCTCGGTGCTTGACAGGGTTGCACCAGCTATGCGACTTCGGGCCCACCTGCGGCCGTAGCCTGAAGGAAGCTTTTGATCTTGGCCTCCCTTTCTTACTTTGATGACAATGAGTTGAATTTCCATCAACGAAGGCTAAGGCTGGCAGCGTGCGGTCCTACTTCCAAGACTATTGCCACCCCGGAAATCAAAAATCGACTTGCTGTTCTTTTTGTAGCTGTCGCTCATATACTCCTGGACATGATGGTTTGTGCTACACTGGATTCCATGTCATGAACATGTTTCATCCGCAGGCATTTTGCTAGGGGTACCAACTGGGCGCGTGTAGCTTGTTAGGATCAGGGGAAACATTCCTAGCCAGCATAGGCACGATCGCAGGATTTGAATGTTGAAGTGGAACTCCATATTACTCCATCAAACAGAGTCTGATTTGTATTTTCAACAGTTTCTTGGATTCGCCTTGCTGGAGGCATGCCCCATACACTGACCGCTCTGGATGGCCACGGAAACGACTCGCCAGAAGTCCTTGTGAAGGCTTGGGCGTGGGTGCCATGTCTAGCCTAAGCTTCTCATGAGAAGCGAAGCATCAACTTGGCACTGTTGTCTATCAACTGTTCTGGCATGTGTCTTCAGGGCAGCCCAGTTCCAATGTCAAACCCTGCCAAAAGGAAGACCTGTGACGCTGAGGAGCATTGTGCATAAGCTGATTGCCCTTTTCCTCTTAGTGGATTGATACCCTAGAAATGCACCTGAAATGTTGCCGTGCAGGATTACTGGCCTCAGGATGACCCTGACCACTGGTCATACAATGAAGACTCACAGGCTGGTTTTTGGGGGTCAGTGAACAGTCTCAACACCCAACTCACTCAACCTCTTGAAACTGATGAGGTGACCATAGAAATGCTAATCTCGACTGGAGAGGCGACAAGCTGACAGAGTTTTTTAATTGAATCTTCTACCAAGTTCAAGATGAAATCAACCTCCTTGCTTGATAGGTGTCATGGCGAGGTATTCAATACGGACCTGTTTCTGAGCATTGCAACACAGCCCAGCCCCCAAAGCTGCAAACACCGTAACCCTTTGTTGTCATGCCCTCTTGGCTGAGGCGCCACCAGATCAAGATGGTCATGAAAGGCGCGAAGAGGCCGTTGTCTTCCGTCGTGATCTTGCCTTCCGTCCAAGCATTGTCTTTCAACGGCCCTAGACAGTTGACTCATTGTTTGATCCGTATTGAATTATTGTAACACCTGTAAGTAGTTTTTCACATCTTCGAGACTAAGTATGTGCATGGCACCGTGGGAGGCCCCTACTCGAAAGAGCCGGCGCATAGCTTCCGCTTTAGAAATGCAATAGCCTTTCAACAGTGCTTCGAACAATTGATAATTGATGCAAAAGAATGCAAAAGAAACGCTTGCAAAGCAGTCAGTAGTCTAGGTCACGCTTCAATCGCTGTGGGACTTGTGACTGAACATCTATCTTCTTTTGCCAAAGATCAAGGGACAGCTAGGGTTCAGTGTCTTTGCCTTTGCCTGAGCCACATCGATGGCCAAACCAAAGAGATGCAGCCTTCGAGAAGCAGTCAAAATGATTGGAAGTTCTTCCTCAAGGCCAGGTGATGAACCTCTTGAACCATAATAGGCCAAAACACATTGTGGAGGCCGCGGGATCCTGTTCTAGCTCAAGGAAAACACCAAGGGTCCACCAACAGGAGGCGGTATGCTCAGAGGTTTGCTCAAGATGTTCACAATTTACAGGGTTGGCTCAAAAGCTGATGTTGTGGGTTGTTCGCAATCATGATGATCATGTTATTGTTAACTTCCCTTGGGTTTCTGTTTTGGACCTGTCAATCCATTTGGGCCATGCCCCAGGTCTGTAAAGAAGAATGCATTGAAGACCAAAACGTCTTGCTCTTAACCTTTTACTGTTACTTCAGAATATGGTGTATTTCCGTGCAAATGCAAGCAATAAATATAGTAGTTTGCCTAAGTGTAACTGGCATCAGTGATGAACCACTGCACCTGTCTCATGGGTAGATCGGTCGCACTTCGAAACATTCCCGAGGAGACGTTATCCGAAGACTTCAGTAGAACTGCCTGCAGAAGGGCTCCCAGTCCGCTTCAAGAGCATCATTCAAACCTTTGCCTGGCCGGACAAGTTTTTGAAAGTGATAGCTGAGACATATGGAGAACGCTGGCTTCTCAAAAGGTTGTGGAACTGGAGGTGGAACTTGAGCACAGCCTTTAGTGGTATAGGAGCTGCTGAGAGTGTGACTTGATTCTCTTGAAGAATCGATTTCATTCGAATTCTGATGACATTGTTTGCATTTATGTCAAACACCCAATGGACTGTTTGGTAGAAGTTGAATACTTATTAGAGAATGTGCTCCACCCTTTTGCCAAGGCGAGCCTGAGCCTTCAGTCCGCAGCTCACAAGTTTGTGGTTGAAAAGACAGGGTTCAAGAAACCGTTGAGGAATGTCCGTCTTGGATCCAGTTGTGAAGTATCCACAACGTGTCAGACCGTGTTGGCACAGACGTACAACCACTGCAACTACCCTGACATCATGGATATCCAGTTGGGTGCTACATGCGGCAACTACTGCAGCACACATGGCAAATTCTGCAAGCCTCAAAAGAAGACCAACACCCGTAGCTTGCCACATGATTGAACGACTTGCCGCTTCATGATAGCATGGCTCATGGCGTATATCTATTTTGTGTTCGTGACCGGGATCTATTTTGTGAACGAACTGCCCCGCCTTGCAAGGCATCAATGTCAATTGTGCTGGCTCCTCAGCTGAGTTCAAGATGTCAGCCAGCCGAGCGCAGGAGTTTGTGGTGTTGTCCTTGAACTTCGGTCAACATGTCCAAATAACTTGTTGCTCAAATTTCAACAAGCCAATGTTCAAGCGCTTTCACTTTATCCAAGGACCAGTTTGTGTAGCTTTCTCGCTGATGGGACGTCGGCGGAAAGAACAGGACATCTCATTCAGAACACATGAGAAATACTATCAGGAGTATGGCAAATCAAATTCCGTTCTGATTGTGGAGAACGTTACAGAATATTCTGAAGAGATTGTGGCTGCTCGTTTGGGGCCGTCTTGGCGGATTCAGGCGACCAGGCTAGACCCTCGTATCTTCGGCATGGGCGTTTCGAGGCCGCGGCTTTATATGATTTGCTATGACTCCGACCATGTCCGGTGGGATGCTGACTTCACGCTCAATGAGTTCGTGACAGCTCTGGCGGCCAAACCAGTGCTTACTGCTCGGGACTATTTTTGGGAGAAAGTTCCAAAGAAGAGACTCACAAATGCGGAGGAACCACAGCAAAAACAGTAGGTGTGTGCTTGGGTGGTTTTTTGGGGGTACAGTAGTTTGAGCGCACAAACTTACCATCATGATGTGTTGAGCAAATTCGCGTCTAAGGGTCAAGGCATTTCAATGTTTCCCTCATATCTAAGGAACAGAACCTCATGGCATACCGTGCGTTGGATTCCAAGAGATACAATATTGTTGATTTGACTCAATATGCCAAGAATGGCAGACCTCGTGGGCAGCTGAAAGATGGCTCCCTGATGACACTGACTACAAATTGCGGGAAGTTCTTCTCTGAGGACCTGACACATTTAGTCTTGTGCTTCTAGCAGGGCCGCACACACCTGGCAGAATACAAGTTAGCAAAGTTTGCTTGTTGGTTGGTTTTTGGGGCAGGGGCTAGGGAACTTTGTGTGCAGGATCATGGACGGGTCATGGCGCCAAAGGAGTTACTGACAGCTCAAACTCTCCCAACGACGGACCGTCAAAGTGAGACATGTGGCGCACCTAAGTTGAATCTGCAAAAGATTAATTCAACAGCAATCCCAAAGCTAGCTGGCAATAGCATGTCGGCGCCGTGTGTGGGATGTGTGCTGCTTGCCGCAGTTTGCGCTATTAAAGCCAACCGTTGAGGAAATGCAGCTCAATGAGCAGTTGGCATGGTCGATTCTTTTTTGCTAGATGATATATTCGGGCCCTTGACCATAACTCGATGTTTCTTTTGGTGTGGGCATGCCGGCGATGAGTTTTTTTTATATTACGACTGGCACTGGAGCGTGCAGAATCTTGCGTAAGAACTTCTTCTTGAACCTTTAAGAGCCAAAAAGAGAACTCCTTGAACCGAATAAACAAGTTTGTTCCGCTCTGTGTCATTCAATTAGAGCCTAGCTAATTGCAATGCATCCGTACAGCTGTTCTTCACCAAAGGCCCCGCTGGCTTCTCGGAGCAATTCATCGCATTTGTTTTCGGATCATAGTATTATGTAGCATGTGTTCGAGAAACACACTCTGAAGAACTGGTCCAATACCTGCGCTGACAACAGCAATCAAGGCTTACTTTAGTGGCCTTGGATGAAGAGGTGGTAGTCTATTGAAGGCTCTTGTGTTTTCGCTTTTACTTGTTGAATCTGACAGCAACTGGCACCAAGAGTTGTTGAATAGTTTCTTTTTGCACTTTGAGAACACCAAGCTGTTGCAGCTCATGCCCAGGTGACTATGGGGAACATGGTTACTTTCGCCGGAGACCTTGGTCCTAGCATCGACTCGGCGCTCGCAGGTGCCCAAAACAAATAGTCTTTCATCAAGAGCTGAAGGTTTGCTCAAATTCTTTTGCAGTATCATGCCAATTGCCAGACTGGAGAAAACTCAACAAACCTGATCTTCCGGCCTTGATCGTGCTCAAGGTTTGCTTGACCGGTGTCGGCCTGAACACTGGTTGGGTCGTGGGATGGGGAAACGATCTGCGGTAGATCCCGACCGGGGGGCTAAGAGTGCGAAAACTGTTCACACTCCATGGGCCGACAAGATTCTGAATGAAGTGAGGCCGGGTTGCACGATTCCGAAACCTTTGACTACTGAGTAGCGAGGGACTACAAGAAATTGAATGATAGGCTGCCACTTGTATTCCTGACAGGTCATTTGATCTTGACAAGGATGAACACCCGGTCAAGTATCTACTCAGCAAGTTGAATGCTGGCCTGTACCATGCTATTCACGAATGGTTGGTGAATGATGTCGGGATCATTGCT